GACCATTTGACATGGCCCAACTCCACCCACTTTTTCTTCAAAAACAACCGCCGAGAGGGATGTAAATATGGCTGAAGAAACGGCAAAGGGTTTAATTCTGTCTACTTCGCGCTCCCTTCGTTAACTTTTTGCCAAAGCCCTCGAGAACTACAAAAAACACGGCCCTTCTCTGCTGCAACCGCGATCCCCCAACTTCCAAAGATACAACGGACTTTTCGCCGTTTTTTCGCCTTTTGACCTTCACGAATTTCAACTACCCCTCCCCTCTAATGTTGTGGACTCATGCCCTCGAGGGACTGTTTCACTGAATGTTTCAGTGAGTGTGAATCATGGAATTTGGTAAGCCATCATGCAAAATTCGGAATCTACTCCAGCCCAAACTATATCATGCTGGCTTATCACATTCCGTGGTTCACACTTTTTGAAAGATCCGCTTGAGGTAATACGTTCGCAACAACACGATAGCAGGTCATATTTGAGGTTAATAAATGTCGAAAGATCGTATTTTTCAAAGTTGAAAGGGTTTTGGTTCTTGGTTACAGGAAAGAAGGGCGGTGTTTTTTTTTGGTATTTTCGAGGGTTTTGGAAAAATTTCATGAAAGAAGTGCAGAACTAGGTTCGGCCGTATCAACTGGTTCCAGGATCAAGTACTATAGAAGCAGCCATAACGGTGAGAGTGGTGGTCGGAGGGGGAAGGGGAGGGGCGCGCCCATCTCTAAAGATGATAATGATGATAAGGGGAGGGGTCCTATCGAGGCCCCATCTGATAAGGGGGTGTCTAATTTTGAAGTTGGAACAGCGGGCGGTTGATCCTGGTGGGTAGAGGGGTTGATACTCACATATGACCTGCATCTCTGCAGACTCGGAGCTTTTCTTCATTCTCGTGGTTACGAATGTGTTCGCGTCTGCCTTGATCATATCCTATCCCCTCTTATCCCAGAGCCTTTTCTCTAGCCTAGACTTTCGGTCAATCTGCCTCATCGCCCAACGCTCACAAATATGTGACCCTCGTTTTCAGTATTTTTGAGTTTATTTGACTTTGCCACCGAGGTGCCGGCTCGTAGGTACATATATTTACTTATTTAAGCTCATGTTGGCCCAGTGAGCTGCAAAGAGGCAAAATCTGAATCTAAGTAAGCATTTTCAAAGAAGTGCAGTTTCTCTTAAACAACCTTGAGAGTAGTAGTGCGTAATGGTCCGGGCGGCATAACCAGCATTAGAGCACTTACCGCGTTATTTGTAGTGCCATCTATATTTAAAGCGTTTATTGTCACTTTAAAGTATTTATCGAAGGTAACACTTCAGATCTAATATTCAGCAATATTCTTGCGTTGTTAGTCACATCCAGTTGCTTGCTTATAATCGGCACACCATTGACGATATTTTTCATCACCTCCATTCTCTAGTATGTGCCCAAATCGAGTGCGATATTTCTCCAAAAAGTACGCCAACAGTACTCGGTGGATGTACAAATATTGCTGAAAAGAAGGGACTAGTTAATGGGCGGAATAGGCATTGCAGTAAAGCGTATCCGTGCAGATAGGATTCCACCCATTGAAAAACTCAAAAGTTCAATCCCCGCCAAAAACGGCAACGGAAAGCACCCATAACAGCAGATTCTTCAAACTGCACAAGAATCCGTGTCAATGTTGCCAAGCCACCTGCAAGGCCCAATAAACTCTGAATAACTTCTGGACAGTAGCTGGGAAAGCTTTCATGTTAAGATGAACGATTTCAGCCAGAAATTGGATCTCATGAGGAAGGTGAAGCCCTAGATGAAGCCACTAAATGGTGTCTTGAAAAGTTGCTGACACCGTGGCGAAAATATCCTATTTCTTTATCTTCAGCACTGCACTGGGATGGAGCCATCGGAAGGGAATCGGAGCTCGGAGCTTGGGATTGATGAATGTAAGGATGATCTCCAGCGTATCTCAAGCTGTAACCTCAACAGTTGATTAGGTTCATTTGTAGCGTAGTGTAGTTTGTAAAAGAATTCTCCAGTGATCCAGCACAAACTAATCGATTAGCAGAGATTCAAGGCAGAATGTTTAGGCAAAAAAATTGTGAAAAAAATTTTCCCCGTGAAGGCATCAGAGAACAAAGCGTTACTTTCACCAACCCCGTCCGCGATGCGTCGCCGACTCTGCTTCATTCATTCAGACCAGTTTAGCGCCGCGCGCATCACATGGAACTTGAGTGAAACTGTACGATCTCCAGAATATCAGGTCACGTAAGGATTAAATCCCAGTAGTATTTGAACAACTTTTGGCTTAAAGAATGGAGCGCGAGTCCAACAGATGTATGAGCCATCCTTTTTATCCCATCATACGAATCTGCTAACAAATCGCCGATTGAAGAGGATTGAGGGTTTGGTTGGCCTGGGCAAGACTTGATCCGAACTTTTCTCGGACCTTAAAGGCAATGGTCGGGCTCAGGCACGCTAGAGAAGTAATTCCCGGCATAAGATGAAGAGTTACAAGCTGTTTTCAAACTGAGCTCGCATTCTAAACATTATCCTTCGCGATTGAATGAAGAAAAGGGACGTTGTGCGAAAGAATGTGGTGTGGGACCCTTTGCCTAGCGGCGTGCGCAAGACGAAGCGAGCCAAATTCAACCATTTGTGAGGCTTTGTTTCAATTTCGAAGGTTTGGGCGATTTTCAGTGAGAAGGAACGTACACTTATCGATCTGGAGGTTCGGCGATTCGACGAATGAAGTACGATCAGTGTAGATTGAACTCGGCTAGTCTCTCTGCGAGATTTCCCTAGTCAACCCGTGTACATTTCCCCTTACCACTAGACGACCCACAAATCACCATCCTCCAAAGTGTGAGCCGTGAACGCTGCTCAACGACCATAAGCAAATAAATTTTCCACGAAAGTCGATCCTTGCAGAAACGGGCCACGGTATACGTTGCTTGCAACCTGTGATCTGATCTTGTTACTGCAATCATCCTGAAGAGAAGTTTTCAGAATCTCCTCGCCAGGGTCCGTAACTCTTCCGGTCCAGTCATTGTGCATTGCTCGGCAGGTATTGGCAGAACAGGAACAATCGTTGCTATTTCCTATGTGACAGAGAAAATGCAGAACGGCGTTAGTTCTCTCTTACCATTTCCTAACTTATTCTCAGAATTGAATGGAGCTTTCTAGGAGGATTGCCTGGCAATGAGCGATCTACTGAAGGAGATTCGCACCCAACCGATCCCAGGTCTCAAACAAATGAAATTCGGTAATACTGACTCCGCCACTTTTCTTTCGGATTTTGGAGTAGCTGAAAATAGCTGCTAAATAGAGAGTATTCGAAATTCACTATTGAGATTTACTGTCTATCTGCGCGCGGAGATGATGCGGTACTACTTAGTGGGAGTTACCGCGCTTAAGGTCCGAGGAAAAATTTGGATCAAATCTTGCCAAGCCAACCAAACCCTCAATCCTCTTCAATCGGCGATTTGTTAGCAGATTCGTATCATGGAAAAAAGATTGCCTTCGTACATCTCTTGAGTTGCGATCAGCTATTGTTTTGGGCCATAAGGTAATCAAATGCACCGGATTTAATTCTTACGTGCGCTTGATATTTTGAGTTTAACCTAATTTCACATCATCCCAGTGATTGGTGTGGGTGCGCTCCAGTTCAGTAGTCCGCGCTAACTGTCTGAATGAATGAAGCAGAGTAGGTGGCGCATCGCGGACGGGGTTGGTCAAAGTCGGGCGTTTTGTTCTTTGACGCCCTTACGGCGTCAAAGAACAAAGCGCGTTAATTTTATACATTTTAAAATGTAAAAAAAATTTCACCTTAACATCTGCAATGAATCTCTATTAATCGGGTGATTAATGCTGGATCACTGGAATAAATTTTAACCCCTACAAATGATATTGATCAACTGAGGTTACAGCTGGAGAACATGCCCTGCATTCATCTATCCAGAGCTCCGATTGTCTTCTGGTAGCTCCATCCCTGTGCGGTCCTGAAGACAAAGAAAAGGATATTTTTGCCATTGTGTCAGCAACTTTTTAGGTTTCCATCTAGCGACTTCAATTAGGACTTCACCGTCTATGAGATCCACTTTGGTCTGATTTCGTTTCACCTAACGTGACAGCTTTTCCCAGCTACTGTCGCAGAACTATTCAAGAGTTCTTTGGCCTTGAAGTGGCTTGGCAGTACATTTTCACATGATTGACCAGTCGAGTTTGAAAATCTGGTCTGGTTCTGCTTTTTTTAATGATTTCCTGCCGTTTTTTTTTGGGGGGGGGGGGATTGACCTTATGAGTATTTCAATGGGTGGAATCTTCTTCTCGGATACGCTTTACTGCACACCCATTAGGATCGCTAACTAACATCTTCTTTTCAGCAATATTTGTACATCCAACGAGTACTTGTTTGCTTGTACTTTTTGGAGAAAATACGCACGTATCGATTTGGGCACATACTCGAGAATGGAGGTGATGAAAAATATCGTCAATGGTGTGCCGATTATAAGCAAGCAACTGGATGTGACTAACAACGCAAGAATATTGCTGAATATTAGATCTGAAGTGTTACCTTCGATAAATACTTTAAAGTGACAATAAACGCTTTAAATATAGATGGCAGTACAAATAGCGTGGTAAGTGCTTTTAACAATGCTGGTTTTGCACCTCAAACCATTACGCCTTAATTCCCTCAAGATTGCTTAACAGAAACTGTACTTCTTCTGAGGATCGCTTACTTGAAATATACAGAAATTTGCCTGCTGTGTAACTCACGGCATAAGACCATAGAGCTCAGTGAGTCCCCAAATGTGCCTGCGAAAGTGGCATGTCGGTGAAAAGAAATAAACTGTCAAATACTGAGACCGAGGGTTACCTATTTTTGAACGCTGTGCGATGAGGCATCTGCGTTCGACCGAAAGTAAGGCAGAGAAGATTATTTGAGACAAGGGCATAGGATACTGACCGGGCAGACGGGAACACATTCGAAGTCCACACGCAGCCCCCGAGTCTGCAGAGATGCAGGCATTAGTTAGACGAGTCCCTCTACATCGCACCGAGTACCAACCGCCCGTTGTTTACAAGTTCAAGATAGACACCCCTTTATCAACATGCAACTATCGATAGGACCTCCTCCCCTCACATCAACTTATCAGCCTAGCGAGAGTCCTCGACACGCCTCCCGCGTCCCCTAGTCTATTACTGCCTCTCGACTCATTAATGGCTCGTTCTATAGTACTGGTCCTGGGACCAGGATGACACTGGCCCAACTCCTAACTCTCCTCACATGCTATGCGAGGGGCAGGTACAAACGCTGAAAACGCAAGTGCTAGATCTAGTGCAGTTCTACAATACCGCTACTAATTTTTGTTCAATCGACGGTTTGCGACGGTCGGAAACCGTCGCAAACCGTCGGCTCGCCATAACTCTTTAAAAAATGGTTCGCTCGACCTGCAGTTTATACCATCTGATAGCTCTGCTCGAGATCTACAAGATGGTTAAATTCAATTTCTGAAAGAGCTCCATCTAGGATTGCGCCATGCACTCGACCTCCATCCCGAGAAGTAATGAATATACATTGTATGTGATGCGCATATAAGTCCTCCTATGCAGCCTGATCATCCCACAGAAAGATGGATCTCAACACCCTCAGAATACGCCACGTACCCAACCGGTCCACCATATGGTGAGACTGAGTGAATGTTTTTTTTTCGAATTTCACGATCTTTACTTCGTTTTAGAGTGCTAATTGGCTAACCGTGCGCTGATCAACCCATTCTTCCACTCCAAATGAGAATCTTCGAACAGTTTCCAGCAGTAGTAGTAGACCTATTATGTGACATTCCCCACATTTAGAGGAGATGATTTGCGGAAACCTGAGAAGATAGCCAGGAATCTCTCCACAGACGTAGACTCCAGTTACTTCTCTGTAGGAATTGATGTAGAATATTTGGTCACGGGTAAGCGCTCCGTCCGTGGTGTGGCCCCAAACATCACTCTCCGTCATGCCCTAAAATGAAAATCAGAGTTTTTGCTCTTCCAGATGACTCTACAGAGCTGAGGGGTGCACCGTTCGATTTCCCATGAAAAATACTACCGAATGGTGTACAACTCAGGTTTCACACAAAACTTTGTTTTTCTCACTTTTTTGCTCCCCATTGCCGATCGTCCTCCCAGCCCTTGGCGCCACGTGCGATTTAGCGAGAAATTCTCTCCACCGACGTGGACTCCGGTCACTTGTCTGTAGGAATTACATGGAAACCTTGGTGGCAGGTGAGTCTTTCCTTCCGTAGTGTGACCCCAAACATCACACCTCGTCATGCCCTTGTGAATGATCAGATTTTTTGGTTTTCCAGATGAACATAGAAGACTGAGATGTGCACCATTCGATTCCCCATAAAAAATGCTGTCGAACGGTATACAACTCACATGGTGTACAACTCAGGTTTCACACAAAACTTTGTTTTTCTCACTTTTTTGCCCCCCCCCATTGCCGATCGTCCTCCCAGCCCTTGGCGCCACGTGCGATTTAGCGAGAAATTCTCTCCACCGACGTAGACTCCGGTCACTTTCTGTAGGAATTACATGGAAACCTTGGTGGCAGGTGAGCCTTCCTTCCGTAGTGTGGCCCCAAACATCACACCTCGCCCCATTTTTTGTGACATGTTCCATGTTTAGAGCACATGTTATGTAGAAAGCTGTGAAGGCAGCGACGAATTTCCTCCACCGGCGTAGACTACGGTCACTTTTCTGTAGGAATTACATGGAAAACCTTGGTGGCAGGTGAGCCTTCCTTCCGTAGTGTGACCCCAAACATCACACCTCGTCATGCCCTTGCGATATGATCAGATTTTTTTTGGTTCTCCAGATGAACATAGAAGACTGAGATGTGCACCATTCAATTCCCCATAAAAATACTGTCGAACGGTATACAACTCACTTTCTGGAGAACATCTAGTTTACCTGCCACTAGATCCATTTTGTGACATTTCCCAATTTTCGAAGGGATGTTTTGAGGAAATTCGAGAAGGGAGGGACGAACTCTCTTCCCTATCGTAGAGTAAGTTTACTTGTATGTTGGAAAAAAGATGATACACTCGGGCTTGAGCGAGTGTTTCTTCCCTGGTGTGGCCTCAAACATCGCTCTCCGTCATGCCCTGAAATAAAAACCAGATTTTTTTCTCTTCCAGGTGGCTCTACGGAGCTGCGGTGTACACCATTCGATTCTCCATGCAAAATGCTATCGAACGATATACATCTCAGTTCCCACTTAAAACTTTCGTTTTTCATCGCCTTTTCCTTATCGCCGATCGCCTTCCTCAGCCCTGGCCACCCACGTGCTATTCACGTGCGCGGTGCGTGAGAGCTCACGTGACAGCCGATGGCCTTTCTCGGTAGCTGGCGGGCAGCCCGATCGATACACCGCTATGCGTGTCGAAAGTGCGTGGGAAAGTCATCACGCACCGCGCACGTGAATTGCACGTGGGATGGCCAGGGCTGAGGAAGGCGATCGGCGATAAGGAAAAGGCGATGAAAAACGAAAGTTTTAAGTGGGAACTGAGATGTATATCGTTCGATAGCATTTTGCATGGAGAATCGAATGGTGTACACCACAGCTCCGTAGAGCCACCTGGAAGACCAAAAAATCTGGTTTTTATTTCAGGGCATGACGGAGAGCGATGTTTGAGGCCACACCAGGGAAGAAACACTCGCTCAAGCCCGAGTGTATCATCTTTTTCCAACATACAAGTAAACTTACTCTACGATAGGGAAGAGAGTTCGTCCCTCCCTTCTCGAATTTCCTCAAAACATCCCTTCGAAAATTGGGAAATGTCACAAAATGGATCTAGTGGCAGGTAAACTAGGTGTTCTCCAGAAAGTGAGTTGTATACCGTTCGACAGTATTTTTATGGGGAATTGAATGGTGCACATCTCAGTCTTCTATGTTCATCTGGAAAACCAAAAAAATCTGATCATATCGCAAGGGCATGACGAGGTGTGATGTTTGGGCCACACTACGGAAGGAAGGCTCACCTTCCATAGATGTCCTATGTAATTTCCTACAGACAAGTGACCGGAGTCTACGTCGGTGGAGAGAATTTCTCGCTAAATCGCACGTGGCGCCAAGGGCTGGGAGGACGATCGGCAATGGGGAGCAAAAAAGTGAGAAAAACAAAGTTTTGTGTGAAACCTGAGTTGTACACCATTCGGTAGTATTTTTCATGGGAAATCGAACGGTGCACCCCTCAGCTCTGTAGAGTCATCTGGAAGAGCAAAAAATCTGATTTTCATTTTAGGGCATGACGGAGAGTGATGTTTGGGGCCACACCACGGACGGAGCGCTTACCCGTGACCAAATATTCTACATCTTTCCTACAGAGAAGTAACTGGAGTCTACGTCTGTGGAGAGATTCCTGGCTATCTTCTCAGGTTTCCGCAAATCATCTCCTCTAAATGTGGGGAATGTCACATAATAGGTCTACTACTACTGCTGGAAACTGTTCGAAGATTCTCATTTGGAGTGGAAGAATGGGTTGATCAGCGCACGGTTAGCCAATTAGCACTCTAAAACGAAGTAAAGATCGTGAAATTCGAAAAAAAAACATTCACTCAGTCTCACCATATGGTGGACCGGTTGGGTACGTGGCGTATTCTGAGGGTGTTGAGATCCATGTTTCTGTGGGATGATCAGGCTGCATAGGAGGACTTATATGCGCATCACATACAAAGTATATTCATTACTTCTCGGGATGGAGGTCGAGTGCATGGCGCAATCCTAGATGGAGCTCTTTCAGAAATTGAATTTAACCATCTTGTAGATCTCGAGCAGAGCTATCAGATGGTATAAACTGCAGGTCGAGCGAACCATTTTTAAAGAGTTATGGCGAGCCGTCGGATTAAACAAAAATTAGTAGCGGTATTGTAGTGTATCATATTAGGTTGTC